AAAAAAAAATGGACCTAGTTTCTGGAAGAGGTGATCCCCCCCCCCCAGCTACTTTTTTTTTTTCTCTTTAAATCTTGAGTATTGCCTCATCTTACAATTTCTCACGGGATCTTCTGTTTTGCCCATTTGGTAGAGAAGCTTCTACTTGTAGTTGGTTGGGTTTTGATGTGGGAGGCAAAACACTCCAACTGTTGCTGCCTCATTCAGCCTTTTGAGTGCCCTTGTAGAAGGGAAGGGTAAAATGTGAAAAAAGAAATTTGAAGCGAGACATTCATAGAAAGAGTTTATCCCTTAATCATCTTTTCTTAACTGAAACTTAAAGCAGTACTCATTATAGGTGATGAAATCTGCCTAAAACAATACTTCTATTTTAATTTTTTTGGTCTTTGACTAATTTCATAATAAAATTAGTTTCATGTTCTGATATGCAAGGGGAAAATGGTACTTGCTTCTCTGGTTGAACTGACACTTGCACAGCTCTGATATTGCTTAGTGTGCTCGTTACTCTTTGAAAAATTAACTATGTTCTCATTACATTCACTTGGTGAACATATGCACCTTACCATACATTTAATGTTACTTGCTGTGAGGGAGAGTAAACTCTTTAAGGAAATTGGGTAGATTAATGCCATGGGGTGAGTTAAGTTGCTCTCCATGTGCATTCCCTTGCATTCCTGCCTTGTCCATCTTTATTTTCATGCGTAAACACACACATCTCAGAGTTTAGCTGAGGATGCTCTGTGAATCAGTTGGAGCAAACCAACACGTGTCCTGCAGGGCTGAGCTCATGAGGGTGCTTTGTGCTTGGAGTAAGCTGTGGCACCGCTTTCGATGCCTCTAATAGTAACTGGTCCATGTGGGACCAGTTGCATTTTCATTGTCCATTTGCACTTCGATTTCTGTTGAACTTCAGCAACCATTTTGGGACTGTTAATAAGAAAGTTCCTCCCAAAAGTGAGGGAAATGCTGGAAGAAAATACTGCTTTTTCTTACCAAGAAGCCTGTGCAGTTTCAGTAGGGAAAGATTTGGTGGAGGCTGAAGATTTCTGTAATTCCAGGGTCTTAATTTCAGTAGCCTGTAGTGTATCCTTGACCTGCCGGGAATGGTGAGGACTGCTAAGGACTGAATGCAGCTAGTGCAAGCCCCTGGATTCTGCAGGGCTCCTCCAGAAGCAGCATCTAATACTAAACATGCATTATTAACATTTTTCTTTTGAATGAGAGCTAAAGAGCAAGAAACCAGGACATTTTGCTGAAATTGTTACTTTGAAAACATGTTGAAGAATTTTTCAAGCCTCGCTTTCAAAAAGCTTTCAAAATTGACAGCAGTTCTATGTATTTTATGAAGACTGTGCTAGGCTGGCAAGACTTATTCTAAGAGGTTCTAGAACGTACTACAATTCCATCTAAGTAGTAAATTGTACTTTTATTTTTATTTAACACGTTTCTCTGTCCCCTTGAGCAGGGTGAAAATATGAGTTGTGGGTTTTGGAAATTAGAGAGCCTTGTCTGAAGTGCCTATGTGAAAGAAACATAAAGGAGAGTGGAGCATAGTGGTATAAGGAGAAATATTTGCCTCAGAAGCCAAAGTAGCTTGCTTTTGAAAGACTAGAGCCTATTACGAAAGCAGGAGGTTTAAGAATAGGCAACATTACAGCAGTTACTAGGATCCCTTGCTATGCCAGCATGCAAGGGTGGCTAAACACAGGGTGTTTTGGCCTTGGCAGATCTTGGTGTGTCCTTCCCGACTGAGAGATCTGGACCTCACCAAGAGCATCTCATGCTCACCGTGAACTTGTCTGCTTAAACAGGGCCTGCTCTGTAGCCCATCCATCCCTGACGTTTTATTGGAAGCGTTTTTCCTGTTCTTTGGCTTTGAGGCTTTGTGACCATGAAAACGTTGCCTGTTTTCTCTTACTGTTCTCATCCCACTGAATGAAACTCTTCAGACAAATCTCCCCCTGTCCCTTGTTGGTATTAGTGATCCTACCAAACATAATGCTTTCATAGCTTTATATTTTATTTTGCAAAATATCCATTGAATTAGAAATCAAATGTAATTGCCGTCACTTCTGATGATTTCAACTAAAAGTTTTTATAAGATGGGAATAAAATGGGCATGACATTTTAAGAGAAATTAATGATGTTCCCAACACCAGGAGCTTACTGTGACTTGCACAGAGCATGTATAACACTGTCATTTTGTTATGCCTGGAGAAGCCACGTCCCAAACAGGACTCGCATCTGCAGAACGGGTCCTGCCCGGGCACGCTGCCTTCCAATCGCTCGCTCTTCTGGATACCTATTAAATCAAGTTCTTGGTAATTGCTCCCTCTAATATAACATGCTGGTTTAACAGTTTTTACAGTCTTTTCACTAATAGATGATAGTGGAAGATTAGCCCCACTAATTTTAGTGTGTATACTTCTTAATCATAGCATTTAAAAGGGAAGCTGTACTATGAATATCTAATGAATAGCTTAAGGCAAGTTTAGTCTCAAAGTTATGTTACTATGTTGGCACAGATCAATATAACCATTTATCACAATTGTCAACATTTAAAAACTGTAGCCATCCCTTATGCACATCACTCATTTCAAATGTACATTAGATATGAGTAGGTTGTAACATTTTAGGATATTTACAGCCTAAATCAAAAAATATTCATAATACATTCCATTCTAGAAGGGAATATATTAGAAATGAAACAATTATTAAATATTTTTAAGATTATAATCTTTGTGTCAAAGGAATGAGCTTGTAACAGGGGAAATAATTTAGAATAAAGAACAAAAATGGGTTGTTAAAGAAATTCTTTAAGGAATTGGTTTCTACGGGAGTCCTGTGCAGTATAGATTGAGTTGTATTCTGTAGAGAGAGACCATTTGGCTTCCTGCCCAAAGCGAAGCTTTCAAATTAATCAATGCATGGAAATAATTAAAGAATGTATAATGCTTTGGTGCCTCTAATTGTTGTTGTTGTGCAGAACTGTAAGTTTAACTCTGCTGTGGATGTTGTGCAGCTCTGCCAAACAGGTCTATACAACTCGGACTGACTGGCTTTTCTTTGGTATTTGCTCATGTTCATATCATATGACTATATGGTGCTTCTGTGTGCTTACTCATAGACTTGTTTCGGCATCAAAACAGTAGCTAAATATTTTTGCAAAAGTAGGGTATTATATTTAGCTTTGCAACCATGGGATATATGGAATTATCCCTAGGTTTTTCCCTTTAGCAAGTATGATGGTTGATGTAAATGCCGAGTGCACGGTTGCTGGGGTCTGTGTTAGTTTGTGACTAGCAGGTCAGCGTGACGTCGGAGGCGGCGCTGGGGCGGGAGCGGGTGCCTCCCGTGGCAGCGCCTGGGCCCGGCTCCGTGGGCGCCGGAGCGGCCGCCTTGCGCCGCTGCCCGGGCTGGCCGGGGCCCGCGAGGGCTCTGCTGCCCGCGGTGCCTGGCGTGCCCAGCCGAGGCTGCCGCTGCTCTTCACCTGGGGCTTACAGTGACACACAGCTCCTTGCCACAGACCTGCCAGAACTTTCTTCGTGGTGATTTTCTGCGTGCTGCCTGACCTATCTCAATTTGTTAGAGTTATTATATGTCTGACTAGCCATAAGCTGCAGAAAACTAACCAGGGAACCAAAATGAATGGGAAGAAAAACCTCTTACTAATTTTTTTTCTGACATTTGAACAGATCCAATAGCATTTATATTACTTTTTCCATTTATACATTTAGCTTCAAGATTTTTAAATGCCAGATTCTTCTAGTTGCAAGAGCCACCAAGGTCAGTGCTCCTAGATTTTAGACATAGGCAGCATTATTTAGGTGGTAGTAACATCATTGATTTTTTAATTGTATGAGATTCACTGTGTTCTCTGCCAGTTTTGTTTCAGATTTAATTTGAGGACATACTGCACTGTGTGGTCCTTTTGGATTTCTGCAACTGTTGCATTTGGAGCCATCCTACTAGTGCAGAATTCCAACAGGAGTAAACATATGGGGATTCTTCCGTTGTTGGTTTACCCCACCATTTGTTCCTAGGTTTAAACCAACTGGTGCTGTACCCAGTGGAGTACATCTGTTACAGTTTATTACTAGGAATTTGCAATTCATTTCAGAGCTTACTAAATAATTATAATATTCCCGGCCAAGAGTACCGTGTTAGGCAATTATGAAGAATGGGCAAAATGTGACTAAAGCGCCGTGTGCTTCGGGAGCTGCTGTCCGGTTTGCACGGGCGTGTTGGGCGCTCGCGGCCTGTCAGCAGCCAGCGAGATGTTCTGACAAGTGAGCCCCATCAGCTGGAGAAATTAAGGTAGTAACTGAGACGCTGTAAGTGACATCCCTTATGTGAGTGACGCTGCTGTGTTTTAATTAAGGAGGAAACAAATTAGCACAAGCCACCACTGAATGCAGTTAGTTGCTGTTAGTCTTGCTGCAGCGCTCAGCTGAAGAGCATCCAGAATGGAGAAGGGCTTTTGCTGTTGGGTTTGTAGGGGCACATCTGCCTCCCCACTTTGGCCCACAGTGAAGGTCAATAGTGTGGAGGCTGTTAAATGATCTATGGTGTCTGAATACTGTGCTCTGTTTTCCCCTCCCTGCTTCACTCCGGATGGGAATTGCTATATTGGATTATTGGATCATGCATGTGCTTTTTGTGTTATTTGCTGGTAGGATTTTCAGGTAGCTGAAATCCCTCTCCGTTAGGGGAGGAATGCATTACTGGTTAGTCTTGAGTAAGCATTAAATAGTTAATTAGCACATGAAGCCTTTGCATTTAAATAAATATACATAAGTGTTTCCACAAAAAAACTCTGCATGTACAGTGGACTACTTTTTCATTATCACCCACTTGAGCAGACTTTTAAAATAAGGAAACACCCTGACATTCATAACCCCATCATATTCATGATGTTCAGTCTCTGTAAGTCAGTCTCGCACATCTTTTACACTGTTACTATGTATGTCAACACACCCCGGGCACGACTGTGGGGAAGTATGGTGCTAAAGTCAAGATTTTTAAAGGAAAACTTGCAAAGCCAATCCCGGGAGCTACAATTAGCAATATTGTGGGTTTGGGGTCTCTAGCAGAGACCTGAGCTGGGGCTTAAATGGGGTCAGTTTTGGTGCTAGAAATTTGTCACCTGATTCCTTTGGAGATCTTGTATTCCAAAATGCCCTTTTTTCCCCCATTGCACTAATCTAGTGAAAGACATTGCAGACTTCATCCTGCCCCTGTCTGTAGCCTGTTGCTGTCAGTTAAGAATGCTGCTATATTCCAAACACTGTCTGTGTACTTGCAAATAAAAGCACGGTAAGAGAAATCAAATTACTTCACAGTGAACGTAACTTACTAGTTCACTGGGTTTAGAAATGTGCCTCTGTGAAGGGGGAACTAAAATTTATACTGAAATAATTAAATAGCCTTACCTAACCCTGCTGTTTTAAAATCTTTACTTTACAATTTTTATTTGGAGGCATTTTATGAAGTAGAATGCATGTTTCCATTTTCTGTATGTGATAAACAACTGGGAATGGAAACCATTATCATGGAGACAAGACTGGCCACTATCTGTAACAATGTTTTCTAGCAGTGTCTTTAAATATTCAAAGGTTAAATGGTTTGCACAATACAAATCTGAACAAATTCATATGAGTTGAGCATTGAGTCATATTAATTTTGCCTAGTACGATAAATAACTGAGAAGGCTGAGATGGTTTGAGAAATTTGAACTGCAGATTTTTTGGAACTCTTTATTTACATTTTAACTTTTCTCTTCTGCAGAACATTCTTGCTTTAAATCCCCGAATACAGACTCATGCAGCCCTCCATTCAACTGCGTCAAAGAAACAAGCTAAGAAGCAATGGAAAAGGAATTCTGATAAAAGCTGTTCAGTAAGTACATATTTACTAAGGTTGAAACCTCCGTTGTGTAAGATGTTTAGATTTGAGTTTCTCGGCTTATTCAGTAGCTAAATTTGGCTCACAGTTCTGTCTCCGTGGATATAAAGATACTTTGTCGTCAGTGATGGGCACTTCAGAACCTGAGCTTGCCACACCTTGACCTGCTGGCGAGTTGGAAGGTCTCTGATGTGACACATTCTGCTTTTGTTGCGGAGGCTCTTTGGTCTGATGCGCCTGGTGAACTCGCTGCCCTCGCCGAGGCTCGCGGAGGCAGCTGGCCCCTGTGGGTAGAGGGCATCAGCTCTTCCTTCAAGCGTTTCTGACCAATTGCTCGTGTTTCCGGTTTCCAAGAGGAACTCTGAGGAACGCTTCACTTGCCTGAGACACTTAAAGAAAATGGGGGAACCCACTATCAAACATATATATGTATATATGTAGAGAGAGACAGAGTTGAGATTAAAATTCAGAATTTGGATCTTACCCATTGCATTTTTCAGGGAATAAGGTTTTTAGAATAAATATTTTTCTTCATAAACTGGCTAAATTTTTCAGTATTTCTGCTGTTAGATATCATCTTTTTATCTCTAGGTACTTAGGTTCCTGCTCTCAGTATGATATTTGATTAATCCTATCCGAATTTGTTGTCTCTTTGATCTTTCAGCTGATTAGAAAGCCTGAAGTATATTTCTGCTGTCTTCCTACAAAATCTGCTGGATAATCCTCTAAATTTAGAGGACTTTTACTACTAGAGTACTACTTCATCTCTGCAAGCCATTTCCCTCTCGGGTGTGATGTTATGGTGTGTTTTCACAGCGTTGCCAAAACACTTTCTCCTGCTAAATAAGAGAATAAAGGTTTCATAGTTGACACTGATTCATTATTAAAGCTCCCCAAAGCTTCTCAGTTTCTCAAAATCAAAGGGATCAAGTTTCTCCTTTCTGTGAAGACATAGCATATTAACTCTGTCTGCTGGGAAGAGAGACCTAGGGTATCCTTAGTATTTCAGCCTTACTCTATTTTCCTTTTTTCTACCATTGTTTACAGTAATGTCTATCTTATCAAATCGTAGCCAATATTTCTGTTTTCTTATTAAATTATGTAATGCTGTGTTAATTGGAAAGTAGCATAGAAGCGAGGCTTCAATTTGTGAACAGTGTCCACATTATTTTGGAGTGTCTGATGCAGTTAGTGCCTGCAGCTGCCTGCTCCTGCTGCACAGATAGTTGAGCTGCTCAGCAAGTGCCTCCTAGACAGCTGTGCTTTACAGACCGGTGTCTTCAGGTGACCTGACGTAAGTATTGGGCTGTAAACTGGTGTGCTTCAAAATCTGTTTGCTAGGAAGTGCAGGTATCCATGCAGCAGGGCATGATATGATATGCATGTGCAGATATTGCAACATAAATTATCCTGGTTAGCTCAAGACTGATCTGTAGTGTATTTATGCCTCTTTATACTCTGCTAGTGGATGTGTTGCAGAGGTACACACACCCACCATGTACTAAAGCTGATAACCTTTAAGTTCATTGCTAGTTGATGTATTTGCAAACTTTCATTTGTGATTCTGATGTTGTAGGGTGAGGCCTTGGCACACGTTTACAGCCTGCTCAGCAGCTTGGTCGTGGAGTTCTGTGCTGTTGCATAGAGACCTGTGGAATTAGCACCTTGTGCCAACGTAGGTCTGCTTGTGTCTTGTACCATGTATCTTACAGTTTTAAAGATCAGAAGTAACAGAATATGAGTATCTGTGCATCTGAACATGTATACACCTTGATCACAGGTGACTCTACGCTGTATGTTGTGAATTACCTATTAGAAGTGTCTTAGTGGTAATGATAAAGTAAAATGCTAGAACTGAAAGGACAGCCAGTATTTTTAGGCCAGTAACGATCCTTGTTTCTAGGACCATTTTTGTTTATTGATCAGCAGAAAAACTCTGGAATCAAAAATCAAGCCTAAACCTTTGTTTGGTATCCCACTGCATAAGGTATTCTAGCAGAAAGTAAAAGACTCTTTTGACATATTCTAGATCACTGCTGAGAAGTGGTTGCATTAGACAAAATGATATAATCCTTTCCTAGCCATCTTAATTTAAGGGAGGTAATTCAGGAAAACATACGTTGAGCGTATTTTTGTTGCCGTATAAAGCTACTGGCAATAATAGAGGCCTGTTTACCAAGAGGGTCAAACAATTTCGAGTCCATAGGAAAGGTCCATGTTTGCATTTCCTTAAGGTCTGAGGTTGGCTTCTAGCTCCAGGTTGTTTTGAAGCGGTGCTGATGCCTGCGTAGAATTACTGTTGGAGGGAGGGTAGGAGTGTGAAAATACAAAACTAATTAAATTAACAGCCCTCAAAACTCTGAACAAAAGCTGCATCTGCCGAGGCATACACACAGTGACTTTGTAATGTCTAATACACTTCCAGATGGCAGACTTACATATTTCCTTGGAATAATTACACAAGTGAAATTTTAACTCCTAGCCTTCTCTCAGACACTGTGATTGCCCATTAAATGAGCCCTAAAGTAGAAACCAAGTGTCAAACCTTTCCTCAACATGGGAAAACCGTTTTCCTAAGGGAAGGTTCATATGTGCTTTCAAGGAGAATTACTGTTTATTTTCCCTACTAGGATCTAGATTTTGGTTCACTTTATATTAGTAGATGCAGGATCCACTGATCTTGCTCTGGAAATGAATTTTGTGAGCCTTGTTTTGGAAATCATAACTACGATTTATAGCAGGGTCTGTAAACTCCTGGTTGCTGAGTCATCAAGGGCTAATACTAGGTGGTAGTGGATTTCTCTTGGTCATGAGAAATTAAATGTAGCTATTTCATAACTTTTCTGCACTAACGTTAACTCTCGGAGGTGGCAGTGTTTTTGTTACTCTGGGGCTACTGTGAGGACTCTGCTAATTTTTAGGCTTTTGTTTTACAAGGTTTTTCTCATTGTGCATAGTGTTTACACCAGGCTATATATAAAATACATGTTTGTATATATAGTATTGGTGGTTATTTCCTTATATTTTATATTTTTTGCTTGCTGACCTTTAAATCATAAGCTTTCGGTGTGCTCTGTGTGTGCTAGCATTAATCCTGGCATAGTGAGGTGCCTATGAGTCATGTTTCAAGGTGTTATGGGCCAAGCTCTGCTTTTCTTATATAGGTGCAGGCTTGCTGTATTTCATGGGTGCTGATTCAGTCTGTTTCTTTTTATATATATATATGTATATAAATTCACTAGTCATTGGAGAATTTGGGATCCTGTATTTCAGCCTTATTTGCAAGAAAAATATTGGAAGCATCTATCAACCTACCTGTGTATTCAGACTTCCTTCAGCTTCTGCACTCAGAAATAGTTGCTCCAGATGGAAGAGTTGGAAGAATTTCAACCAGACAAAGGCAAAGAGGAAATGGGGTTTAAATTAGTTTGTAGTTAATTGCCACAGCCTGTAACAGTATTGATTTTCTGGCAGTAATAGCGTTGTTCTTTGTCCTTACATTTGCTAAGCCTGATCAGTGCTAGGCAGTACCAGCCTCTCTTCCTTGAACAAAACAATTAAGCTCAGCTGTTTCTTGAAGGGATTTCACTTCTGGGCAAGATTTTTTTAGGTTTTCTGTGGGTCTTTTCAGCCATCAGAGGGAGAACCAAATTCTTCACCTTGTCTTTTTCTGTAAAACTTTAGAAGTGTGACTACCAGACTGCTCTGTGCTAATGGTAGAGCCAGGCATGCAATTTACAGTAAGGTGCAGCAGATCATGGCTCTTGAAATTCAGAGAGCAAGACTTCCTGTCTTAAAATGGTAGTAATGAGCATTTGCTAAAGCTTCAAACTACTTTTCACTTTGATAGCATCTCTGTTGCTGTAATTGCTCTATATGAGTGTGTGTAATAAGGAATTCTTATTAACAAAAAAAGTTTCCAATGAACCTGTTTTCATTGCAGGGTCCATATTTGCATAGAAAAGCCTATAAGTGAGATGATTCTTTCAGCTATAATCAACTTATTAATCTTTTAAGCATTGTCATACAGTCAGATACATGGAAGAAATGTGCCCCTTCATGTAGTATGAGTGCACAAGTAATTGATGGGTTGAAGCAGAAGTAGAGCACGTTGGAAGCAAATATAAAATGCCTTTCACCTAAAGTCTGAAATCAGAAAATCTAATGAATAAAAGCTTTTTCAGTGAATAAATTGACCAATTCCGGAAACATATTGATGAGAGCTTATATATTTATAAATAATCTCAAATGTTGTAAATAGAGAATGCTCATTAAAGGAAATCAACTCAATTATCTCTATAATCTAAATGTATAGTTTACCTTTGCAAAATGTTTATTTTTTCTTCATTGCATATGAATATGCAAGTTTAGCTCTTGTCTGAATGGGTATACAATGGCAGATGTCTCTCTAATCGCTGCTCTATTCAGACATTAATTGGTAGAACATATGTAGAATTCTACTGGTCTGAATAGGTATAGGAGGATAGCAGCAGTCTTTTTAATCACATCACTATTCAGCCACTAATTGGTGTGATGATTAAGGGACATTAGAGGGAGCACTTTGACATCTGATTCTTTGAACTGATATCTGCTCGGGCTGCACTGTATTCATCATGGCCGGACTGATTCCTTAAATAAAATGCCCAGTGTCCCAAATGTGGAAAGTATTGCATTAGGATCTATTGAGGTGATTAGGGAATTTGAGGATGATTCTCTTATTTAACTAGTGATTGATTGTATATGCACAAACTATTCATATGAATAATAGATGGGTTACTTTGAGTATCAGAAAGAGCTGAGAAGTAACATCAAGAGAATTTCTTTTTTTCTCAGTGTCAATAATTAAATATTAATACAGATTTTAAAATGTACCAGTTTAATCATTTAGCAGTCAAATTTCTACTCATGCATTTTTTAGATTAACTAATTACTGTGCATTATCTTGTATTGATACCATATGCTGGCATTTAGAATTTTACTGTTTTACTGAAATA